AATTTTACAAAAGAAACAAGAAAATTTTGAGAGTTATCATTAATATGATTTTAATTTTAATGATAGCTTCTTAGCACATATATTAAGTCCTAAAAATTAGAGTTTTAATGTATATATTTTGTTGTATGTGATATTTCAATGATGATTGAAAAATACTAAAATTCAGACATTCTTTTATACTTTTCCTATCAAAGACTGGAACTCAAATTTTCATCAGTGTATAATTTAGTCAACTATAACTCCTATATATGAATTTAAGTACTATATTTGTTTCTAATCAATACACTGCTCAATATTGGAAGCTTTGTGTCTTTCAAGGAGTAATTAGAAAGCTGATACTTCTGCTGGGCTTCCTTCCTCATGTTACTCTTCTTTGAAAAACAGAAACTCTTTTATAAATGCGCATGACTATGGAAAAAGACAGTGTAGCTCATGTTCTTGATTGTCAACATGATTGGTCTGAGAAAGCAGAGTACACTTCTAGGTATGTTGGGTGAGTCATGGAATGTGTGGAGAGTTTAGATTGAGAATGTCCCCCAAAAGCCATGTGTTGAGAAATGGAGCCTTTCAATCACCAGTGAAGGCGATTGGATCACAGAGACGCAAGCTACACATATCAGTAGATTAATGCGTTGATGAGTTCATAGCTAAATGAGCTTGATGGACATGTGGCCTGATTGGCAGATGTGTGCCGCTGGGCACTTGTATTCCTCCCCAGTGCCTCCCTTCTCTCTCTGCTTCTGGTGGTGGTGAGCTGAGCAGCGCTCCACGACTGTGCCCTTTAACCGCGTGTTTTCTGCCTTGTAGTCAGCCTTCCATGGGCTGAGTTTCCCAAAACTATGTGTCAAATTAAATCCTTTCTCCTTTAAATTATAGGTGTCAGGCATTCTATTGAAGTTATGGGAAAGCTGCCTGACACAGGGTGTGACCTTGGGAACTGCATCTATTTTGTCGCCCTTTGCTTGGTCTCTTTCTCTGCTGCTCTTTCTGACTGAGTGGAAGTGAGCAGCTTTCCCCTGCTACCCCTTCCACCATTATTTTTTGCCTCCAAGCCAGTTTACATGGACTGAGTCCTCTAAAACTATAGGCCCCAAATTCTCTTTTCTCCTTTAAATTGCCTACACCAGGTATTTTGTGTCAGTAACAGAAAAGCTAATGAATACAATAAGTATTTGGTTAACTTTGGGAATTTACATAGAATATGTGTTTGAGAGAGAGAGAGAGACAGACACACAGACAGAATGAGCAAACAAGAGAGACGGGGGAGAATACTAAAATTTAAATGTACTAAAAATCAGGTTGCATAATCTATTAACATACGCCCTTTTCATTGGATAATTTCATGCAAATCTTCTTTCATGCTTTTATTTTAAACACCTGGACATTATTTAAGGGCAATCTCATGGGATATGCCTATCTTTAAATTCTATTAAGAAATAGAACAGGAAAGACTTATAATGTCATTGGACTTCATAATAATCAAATGTCCCTCCATAAATCTTCTAGGGGTTACACTGATGTTTCAACAGTCTTGGAACTTCATATATAAAATGCTTATTTGTGGGGGATATATACTATATATTAAAGGACATTAGTGTGTGCTTCCATTTTCAGTTTTGATAATCAATATTTGTGAATTTTATGAAAAACATTATTTTTAGCATTAGTTTACATTTTTGTCTTCATTTATTATAGAGATACTTACCAAACCTCATTCAGTATGTAAATTGACTCTGATCTTTGAAGACATCCCTCTGTGTATAATCATGTCCAGAACCACAAATCAGAAGTATAACCACATGTTGTGACAACCGGTCACACCACTTGCACTGTGTGAAGATCACCTTTGAATTCTCTGGTAGTTTGGCACACCCCACTGTTACACAGTTGTGTTTATATTAACATAAGCAGAAGAATGTTTATGGAAACTATGAAATTAAAGTGAATTTTAAGCTATGAATGAAATTTGAATAGGTATTTTGTTACTTATATGAAAGCTTATAGCATTTTGTAGGTCAAGGATCACTAAAATAATAATTGTGCCTAGTTCCACTTTGCTATGTGGAAGGATATAAACAACCTGTTATGGCTTGTGTCTAGATGTCCCCTCAATGCCTTGTGGTGCTGGATCCAGAATGTGTGATGCTGGGATCAAAGGTGTGTGATTATTAAATTTGTCCACTGATTGTCCATGGTTTGGCGTGGTTCTGGGTATGGGTAAAGGGACTGTGTGGGAGGGTTACTTGATCTACGGGTGTGTAGTCTGGATCTGGATAGGATGTAAGCAACAGAAAGAAGGCTGCTGCCATCCCTTGCTGCTTCCTCACTACTCACTG